AGGGATAAACCATTATTTAAAATTTCCATAGACATGGAAAGTTATGTTAGGTAGAAAATTCTGGCTACAAAACATGCCCCCCAAATAATATTATTTTTATTTTACAAAAATCTCTATCTTCTTTAGTGTTCCTTATTCTACTTTGCCAATTTTTTAGTAAAACAAACAAACAAACAAACAAAAACTATCTAGAAAGATATATAATAATGAAGGGTCTGTGGGCTGGCAGGTGTGCAGTGGTTAAGATGCTGAACTCCCACGTGGCCTACTGTGGTTTGAGTTCTGGGTCTGGTGGCTTCCTTTCTCGTTTTCCTTTTTTTCTCTCTCTGGTCAAATTTAAAAATAATAATAAATAAAATCAATAATTCTTTTTTTAAAAGGAGGTCTGATAGCATGAACTCATCGTAGTATAAGAAATTTTGAGTATTTCAAAACTAGTTCATTTTAATTGATCTGTATTTTCTAAATTTTCTGTAATGAATGTGAATTGTTTTATAATAAAAAAATCATTTTACAGAAAAAGGGATACCAATTTAGAAAAAGAGTAATACCTGGAGTGTATCTGGGAGACTAACATTAAGCAAGACTATCACCTTATTTTCCCCAAAATATCCTTTAGTGCCACTTTCAAAATTCAGAGCTGGCTGAATTGAATATTAGTCTGACTCAGCATATCATTTCCTTTTGCTTTTATGCTAATGCTTAAAAGCCTGGAAGTACGCACTCTATTCAATACATTTCATCAAATATTTATTGAGCACCTACTATGTGCCAAGCATTAAGAATACAAGATTAGTAAGACAGTTCTGTTGCAGTTGAAATCAATACGTGCCCTCGTAGAAACTTGTACCTCTCTGAAAGCTTGAGGTGGTTATTCTGATATAAATAGCAATTTCCAAAAAGTAAGCTCATTTAAAAATAATATATTTATATTTTCATTTTCTGAACTCTTGTAATACTTTAAAACCAATATAGGATTATGGTGAATCATTATTTTAAAAAAATCACATATTTATGGCTCTTCACTATTTTACCACAACTTTTTGAATCAATAGTCTTTCAATTTTTTGACTCCTTGGTACCACAACTAGTCTCCTTTGGAATCAATAGTCTTTCAATTTTTTGACTCCTTTTGGTAGAAATTACTTCAGTCTGTTTGGTCTTTGAGCCAAACCTCTCAGTTGGACTTTAAAATCTTGACTTGGGACTCAGATTTACTCAGGAGGCATTTTTTTTTTTAACAGCTATATCAGGGCGTATATTTCAAACTAAAGTTACTAAGCCCTGATTACCCAATAATTAAACTAAAATAATTTAAAGTTGGGCTTAGTGAATCTGTATAATTTTACTCATTTATAATTATAAATATTTTGTATAAGTTAAAATTATATCTCAGTTAAGTAATTTCCATATTTTTATCTTTATTGTCCATTAATTATTACTGTTATATTCAGATGGCTTTTATTTTTTACAATAATTTTCTTGGGATGGAGTTTACATGAAGCCAGAGTGTAAAGGACCTTAAAGATCATCTTGTATTACTATTTTATTTTTTTGGAAGAGGAGACTTAAGCACAGAAATAAAATAAGTTTTAAGAGTAACTTTTCTTTGTGTAATGTCTTGTGAAACATAGGTGTGTGAAAACCAATAGCTATTGTTATTAGAACCTTGTCCTTCAGAGTCATAATCCATTACTCTTATTTGCTCCAGATTAATTTTCCATAATATTGGATTAAACCAATTTTGGGGTCTGTAATTTGCTCAAGACACTATGTATATTGTTTTTTCTCATAGTATATGTTGAACTGATTTATTCATTTAACAATATATTTATTAAGCATTTACTAAATGCCAGGTACTGGTCTCAGCATGAGCTTAAATGTTAACAAAACTTACTAAGTAAGAGTTTTGAATTTATATAAATGAGAAATTTGTGGCTAGTTACCCACCCATATATGTATATATATGTATATATCTTCTTTCACTGTATATATCATCTTCTTTCACTGTAAAACCTAACCAATTTTAAAACTTATCTTCCATTATTTACCAAACGTGTACTTTTAAAATAAACTATAAACTTGTTCTGGAACCAGCGGATGCCATAATGGTTATGTTGCTGGACTCCCACATAGTCGACCACAGTTAGAGTCCTGGATACAGTGGCTTGAAACTCACACCAGGTGCATGTGCATATGTGCCCAGAATCCTGGGAGGAGAATGAAGGAGAAGGGACTGTGGCATAGCCATCATTCTCCCCACCTTGGGGGCGGGGGGGTTCTTGCTTTCTGTCTTTCTGTCTCTGTCTCTCTGGCAAGCACATGCATCCTATAGCAAAAATCTCTCTAAAAAAATATAAATAAAAAATAATAAATAAACTTGTTTCTGAGAAGCCTGACTACAGTAAGGATCCTGGATTTTATTTTATGATAAAATGCTAATTTCCCCTTTATAAAACTAATTATTTATTGCATAATTTTAAATAAGATGGTATTTTCAAAAACTGCATCTGATTAGACTTAGGGCATTAAGTATTTCAGCATAATATTTTTTCTGGGGCTGTAACATTTTAATTTTATTATGAAGTAGAAAAGCTTTCATTAATTGTAAGGCTGTGTTTTTCTGCATGATATGAAATAATACAAACAATGTTTTATGAAGTAATAGGACCAATGCTAGATTCAGAATTACTGCTTTTCTTAGTTTAATTATCCATCTCCACTGTAAAACTAACAGTCAAATTTTAGTAACTCCTGACCATTTTTACATGTTTTCTCTTTTTTCCACTCCTTGTGCAGCATTTTGGTTCTATTTGTTTGCTTTCTCTTTTTATATGTCTACCCTCACTTCTCTTTTCAGTTGTTCTTCGACATTACTCGCCTTGCTGTCAATGCATCTCAGTCCTTGGATTCCAGATTGCAATTCTATATCCATCTGCTCTGTCCTGATTGTCAGTGAAAATTGCAGCTCTTTGCCTAGTGGGACATCAAATCTCTGACAGTCTTTGGCTTCCGCCTCATTCAGGGATGGGTGAGGATATAGACTTCCTAGTTATACACTTAGGATTTCTCCCAAATTCTCCAAAGAGTTATGTGAATCTTCTTCTAAAGGCAAACAACAAGGAAACTTGCAGAACCCTCAAAGAAAGGTGCCAGTGGTGGTGGTAGAGATTTTGGGACTTACTGATTTCCACTCTGGACGTAGGACAGCATTAACAAGTTAGTAATGGTAATAAATGCAAGTATCTTCTAAAATTGTGGGAGGGGAGGGAACTTAAAGATCGCACGTATGTACAGATATTAAAATCTCACAAATACATCAAAGTCCCTTGATGTTTATCTAATAGCCATGACACATAAAAACAACTACCTAACCAAAGTTTTATACCCATGTCATAGGTGTTGAAATATAAAATAATATTATGGTTGCTAAAACCAGTATCTTAACCTAGCTAAGTACTAAAGCTACACCTGTTGACACTATACTAACCAGTATTTTAAGCCTTACTTTTAGATTACAGATAACACTAATGGGCCAATAAGCACTGTAAGAGTATGTGTCAAAATGCCTGAGAAAGGCCACAACTAAACTTTATGGAAAAACTTGTCACCTTGTAATTAAACATGCCACCAAGTTTTTTTTTTTATCTTTTTAATTTATATCTCTATGTACTTTTCAAATTAGCGCTGGAAAAAAAAAGGAGTTTATAGAAAGGTATAAAGGCCATTTTATATCCTGGTTTGGGGTGTGTCAACGTTTGAAGCAATAGAAGGAAGGCTGAAACAGAAAGTTGTAAATACAAAAGGAAAAAATACAGTAAAATTTTGTTTGTCTGCAAACAGCGAAACCCACTGTCTTCCTGCATTCTCCGTTCTCACCTTCCAGAAGAGATGCTGAGTTTTGAAATAGGAAACTACAACCTCTTTCCAAACAAGGACGGGGGGGTTCTCTCTACCGCAGCAGCTTAACCTCTCATCTGGGGATGGGTTTGCCTTCGGATAGCAACTCAGGAAGAGGAGGTGCGCCCCAAATTGGCGGTGCTCTGCTAAATACCGGAGGCTCTCCTTTGAGAGAGGGAGGCTCCTCCTTTGGACGTGAGGCACCCCTCCTAGAGTGCCGGCTTACAGAAACGGAAACCACTAGCTGCGTCGAAGTGAGTCAAGTGATGAAATCAAGACTACGGGGGAAGGAAGCTCACGAACCTAACTGGTTACAGAAGCTGCTGAACCCTGACCGAGAAAACCACATGAGCCAACAGTTGCTGTCCGGGTGAAGTGGTTGGTGGAGGCCCGGAGTCCCCCAGTCTCCAGGCAGCGCGCATCCCATATTGTCTATCCGAAGAGAAAGGGAAGTGTGTGTGGGAGGGAATCTAGACCTTCTGGTTCTCCAAGGACCTAGACTGTGTGTTCTGGTTACAAGGTGACCGTTGCCACCAGGTCAGTGCAGAATTCCTCAAATGTAGACGAACTGGAGGGCGCGCCTGGCGCGGAGAAGCAGCCTCGCGGCCAGCGGGGAGAAGCAGCGCAGCCGCGGCGCCTGACGCGGAGAGCGCCCCCGCCCCGCGCGCGGTCCCGGGCCTCACCTGGAGCGCTCAGGTAGGGCTCGGGCGGGGCAGGAGGCTGGCGCGCAGGCGCAGGACAGGGGCCTCGCCCCTGCCGACGTCGCAGGCTGGGGGCCCCCCGGGGGAGTCCCGGGACTCCGAGAGGAAGCGGAGCCTTAGTTCGGCCTCTCCTGGCAACGCGGGAGGCCCAGCGGGCAGGCAGGAGGCGGTGGCGGAGGAGGAGCTCCACTGAGACGCAACTGTAGCGACAGCAACTGGAGTCGCTGCCAACACCACCTGCACCTGGCGGCCGGCCCGAGTCCAACGTCCCCGGCGCCCTTGCCCTGCCCACCAGCCAGGTAAGCCGGAGGGCCGGCACCGGAGCCCGGGCGGGAGGACAGACAGCCCGGGGCTGCGTCGGAGAGGGTGTTTGGACAGCTGCGGAGGTTCACGTGCTGGGGAGGAGGCTGCCGTCCCGGCGCGGCGGCCGGTTGGAGACGGTCTCGAGAGCAGCGTTCAGTTGCGGCTCAGGAAACGCCAAAAGAGGTCCACGAGGCTCCGGGAGAGGTGGCCCGGTGGGAAGAGTCCTTCATTCCTCTCCCCCAGTGTGCCCCTGCCAGTCCTTATAGGGAAACCCAAAAGAACTGGACCTGGGCCAAAGTCTTGGTGGCCTGGGTTTGTCCTTGGAAGGGTCGCAGAATAGGAAGCAGGAGGGGTGGGGCAGGCGCAAAACGCTTCCAGTCTAACCAGCGCGCTCCGGGTCTCCTCCTGCACTTGTGCCAGATAGGGCCAAGCCGGCCACGGGGAAGGGCATGGCTTTGCCAGTCAACTTTCCCAGCCGGACCCCAGGCGTCCTAGGATGGAAACCGCGGCCGCCGGAGTCATTTAAACGGTTTCCGAGTGGTTTGGAAAGGGCTCTGTGGTCGGGACGCGTATATCCCTCTCTGTTTCGACTGTACCCTTTCCCGGGTGCACTCCCCAAACCATAACTGCGCCCACTTTCCGGTTTGATCGGGAAGAGTTCTTTTCTAAGTGGCAAGAGGAAATTCAACTGCCACGCACGAACCGGGCACGGTCTCCTTAGGCGACCTGTTGACTTAAGGACCTGCATATCACAGCTATGGTTTGCCTGTGGCATATGACTCAAAGGTTCAAAAAAACTTGTTTCAAGATCCTGCCACGTCTGAACTTGGGTGTGCCAGGCCCAAATTCCTCTCCTGCATAATTAGGCTTTTCTGAAGCCTAAGAATTGAGGGCGAAACTGGCACTTACCTTAGGTTTCTATTTCATGCTCACATTCATCAAGAAAATATTTCTGATTTAGAATCTCATCGAGTAACCACTTTTTTCTGTTTTTTAGAAAACGTTATTAATGTTTCTTGCTAGAAAAGTTACACTATCTATTCAAGACACTGCAACTCAGATCCTATTGTTAAAATATCAGAAAGCTATTGCAATTTGAATTTCTAGTTGTAGGGATATCTGAAGCCTATGTTATTGTAATTAAAGTTTGTGGCTAAACTATATGAAGTTAAACTCACACCCTATAATTAGATTGCTTTACATTAACGCTTACTTTTAATATCAAGTCCAGCATCCGCGTTAGTTTCAATATTCTGAGCAGTTTATTTGTACCAAGCATCTTTTGGTTACTTAGTATTTGTACAGAAAATTTACTATAATGAATGACAGTTCTACTTTTGGATTTGTTTTTTATCTATCTCTGCCAATTAAAACAATACATTTTAGATTGTACATATTCCTTAAAATGCTTTAGGCAACATGCATAGTTTTTTTTTTTTTAAGGTTCAATTACAAGCTTAAAAAACTAATCACAGCGTGACAGGATATTATTAATTCAACTGGGGCTGTTTTGCTTTTCTCTAAAGAGCTTCACCTACCTTCTTAATCTTATTATCCACACTGGGACATTAAAGTGCTAATACTGTTGAAAAATTAGATGTAGGTGTTGCTCCCTGAATTTTGAACATTAACTTAATCGTCATTGGTTATGGGACTAGACGCTAGTCTATCTTTGCTCTTAACTTCCAGAGAGAAATATAATATTTTCCACTATAGTAATGATGTGCCTCAGTTAACCTAAATGTAAAATAGAGAAAATAATACTCCTAAGATTAAAGTAATGAAGCCTTTAAAAGATCTGTAATATCCTTTAGCTCTTACATTTTCAGGATCTCCTTCTCACTTTGGAAACCCAGTCAACCCATCCAATTTGGGATAAATGAAGCCAAAAGAGTCTTCTAGGGCTGGCCCTGTGTCCCGGTAGTTAAGGGAGTTGGATTCTGCATGGTCAACCATGGTTGGAATCCTGGCAAGGCAGCTTGAAAAACATACCAGGCATGTGTATATGTATGCCCAAAATCTCAACAGGATGGGGAACTGGAGAAGGAATTGAAACATGACCACATTATATTGAGTGTTTGTCTGTGGGTGATTTTTCCTGCACACTCTCGCTCTCTCTTCTTTGTCTTTCTGATGAGCTGACACACCCTCTGGAAATTATAGGGGGGGGGTATTTTAACTTCAATTAACCATGCAAAGTAAGTACCAGCGATGGCTTCTTGCCTCAAGGCTCCTTATGGCCCACATTCTGACTTATCATAAGATTTTTCTTCTTTAATATATGGTTAATCATGTACCACTTAACAATAGAAATACATTCTGAGAAATGTATCATTAGACAGTTTGTCCTCATGCCAACATTGTGGACTATGTTTACACAAACCTAGATGATAGTATGGCCTACTTCTTACCTGAGCTATAGGGTATAACTTTATTATGCCCTACATGATGTTTGAAATTTTATCATGTGGTGCTCAACTGTTGTTTGTAAAGCCTTTGTTATTATAGAATAGGTTATTATTCTTTGTCCACCTCTGGTTTACCCTAATTTATTTATTTATTCTTTTTTTTTGTTGTTGTTATAGGGTGCACATGCTCACCAGGGAGAGACATAGTCAGAGAGACAGAGAGGGAAGGTGAGAAATCATCTTCCTAGTGGGTGGGTGGGGGTAGCAGCCATGCTGCAATCCCCTTTCCTCCCACCCTCTCTAAAGACTCTGGACATGCACACATTTGTGCCTGACATGATTTTCAAGTAGCTGTACCTGAGACTTGAACTGTAGAATGAGCTATGTGGGATCCAGCCACCTTAAGCTCCATGTGACCCACTGGCCCCACCCTAATTTCTATCTGTCCATAAAGACTCAGGCCACCATGCTTTTCTTCCTCTCAGTGCATAGTGTGTATATTGAAGATTCTATGTGGAAAGAAGTTTTTAATCCTTTCTTGATATTAGAGAGCCACAGTTATTTTTGTCTGTTTCTTATGATTGAGTGCATGAGAGAAAAGGAGAGAAGCACCTTCCACAGGATGTGGTCTTTCTATGACCCCCTTCCTTTCAGGAACCTAGGCTTATGGACAGGCTCCCAGTGTATTTTCGGGCCTGTTAGGCTGGGTGCTTGAACCACAGTCTGCATGTGGTTTACAGTTCCACAGTTTGCTATACTGTAGGCTGTGCCACTGATTCTGGGCCCACTGTTAAGTTCTCAAGTCAACCTAGACAACATTACTTAGTCTTCTGATCTTTTATTGTATTAGCTTAAAATATATTTTATGAAGCAGCAGTCTAGTGTCTATCCATTTGCAGCATTCAAGCATACTGCTTTTTAATTTTTTTTCTTTTTAGAAGTTTTTGCCTTAGGGCACACGTGCTCACTGGAGAGAGAGACACACAGAGACAGTGAAAGGGAAAGTGAGAAATCACCCCCTGGAGGGGATGGCCAAGCTGCAATTCCTTCTCTTCTATACTCCTCCTGGAATCTTGGGCATGCACGCACACATGGTTAGCATGATTTTCAAGCTGCTGGGTCTAAGACTCAAACTATGGTCAGCGATATGGGAGTCCAGCAACATAACTACACCACCTGCTGGCCCCTCAAGCATAATTCTTTAACACCAATATTTTTAAAACTTGTTTTTAACTTAAGTCCTCAGGACAAAGTATATTGTGTGCTTTATATTAGTGCAGTGTAGTGCATGTGTATATCCATAAAGTAAGTCTTTTAAACAATTCTTAATTTTACAACATGGATTTTTGTCTATTATTTTATTTGTTTAAAATATCAGTATCAATACACTTAATTGAGTTTGTGACCACTAATGGGTTAGAGCCTGCAATGTGAAAATAGTACGATCCTGGGAACCAGCAGTTAGCGTAATGGCTATGTCGCTGGACTCCCACGTAGTCTACCACGGTTCGTGTCCTGGACCCGGTGGCTTAAAACTCACACCGGGCGCGTGTGCGTGCGTGCCCAAGATCTTGAGAGGAGAATGGAGGAGAAGGGATTGCGGCGTGACCATCCCCCCTGGGGGGTGATTTCTCGCTTTCTGTCTCTATGTCTCTCTCTGTCTGTCTGGCGAGTGCACGCGCCCTACAGTGAAAAATCTCTCAAAAAAAAAAAATAGTACGATCCTATTAACATATTTTAAGACTGATTTTTCTATCAGTTTATTGTGTCACATACATGAAAAAAAAAAATCAAACTGTAGGGACCAGCAGTTGGCATAATGGCTATGTCGCTGGACTCCCATGTTCGAGTCCCGAGCTGGTGACTTAAAACTCACTCCGGGTGCATGTGCCTGCTTTCCCAAGATCTGGAGAGGAGAATGGAGGAGAAGGGATTATGGTGTGGCCATCCTCCCTGGAGGTGATTTCTTGCTTTCTGTCTCTCTGTCTCTCTTTGTCTTTCTGGCAAGTGCACGCATCCTATAGCAAAAACCTCTCTTCCCACCCCCAGAAAAATCAAACTGTACTTTAACATAAAATCGTACTGTGGTACTAATTAAGCGTTTGTTGGCGTTCTTAAGGCTCTAGGACCTTGGTGTTAGATAGAATCTCTCAAACATTCAAACCACGGGAAATCTTATTATATATTATTGTATTTTAAATGTATTTTCAGCATGCTATAGTATATTTGGGGCTAGGAAAACATAGAACTATTTTTCTGAGGAGATATTGATGGCAACAATTATCAAATGAATGTTTGAGAGAGAAAAATAATCTACCCAGCTCTATTCTGGCTCTAAATTTTAAGTTTTAGTTCTGAGTGAAGTTTGAAAAAAAATATTAGACAAATAACAGCCTAGTTTATGATTTGCTTGTATTCAGTTGCTAGTTTACATTTTTCTCTTTTATTATGAAGCAAGCATAAGAGATATATTAGAGGAATCACATTCCCTCCCCCTAAAAAAAACTAGACTGAGAGATTGGTTTATATCCTAGTGACTTGTAAGGATGTAATAGTCTTAGACATGCTGATTTAAAAAAATATATATTTAATTTTATTTATTATTATTTTCTAATTTGCTATAAGGCAAACTCATTCAACAGAGAGAGGAGGGTGGGAGAGAAGAAGAGAAAGTGAGAAAGTGAGAAAGCAAACTGCCAGGTTTGGAACTTGAACTGTTGTTGGCCATGTGGGAATACAGCACCTTAACCACAACATCACCTGTTAGACTGGACATGTGATTCTAACTTGCCTCTATATTCCTG